TAAAAAAATTTTTTTAGGTTACATATATACATTTGAATAACCAAAAAATCATAAATTACTATATCAATACCACAGAATTCTACTATAATTTATCATGCTTAGTAACTAAGCTGTATTTTGGTCTAAAAAAATATGAAATTTCGAGCAAACTAAAGACACAACATACCTCCTTCAAATCTTGGTTCGAATAAATGAGATGGTATCCTAAAACTTTAAAATGGCTAAGATATTCTGAGCTTTTGATTGGCTATTCACGTCATATACATAAAACTATGTATATATAAGGGACCGTTTCCAAAAAAGGAAAGAGGTGAGCAGGGCCACTGCATTTCATTCAGTACATGAGTAATATCTCAGCAAATAGAAAAGATAGGAGGTTCTTAGTTTATATTCTAGCTTGTCAATATTGATAATTTGAGTTCCTAATTCATACAAAACTACAGAATTCGTATTTTGACATCAGAAACATCTAATTTGAACCAATGCTGCATTCAACATACCACGTAACACACAAAAAATTGATGTTTAACTGTGTTTTTATAAAATTTACTTCTAAATTAAGAAATTGAGTAAGGTATAATACTAAAATTTGAATTATAATCTACAGTTTAATACCAAACTTAATGACATAAATTCATGAAATAGTAGTTCAATAAAATTTGTAATGCGAGTCAACAAACGCAATGACATGGCCTTTGACCCATGTGGAAAGGATTAATCATGAATTTATACAACTTTCATCCAGCCAGTTGAAAATAAGTTATTCATGCACTTACCGACATAAAAGAATAGACAAAATAAGAAAACAAGGGTTAATATGCTGAACTGAGGCATAATGCCATTTTATTAAATAAATCCCTAAAGTAGCCAAATATTAAATCTTTTTTAACAATATATGTACATATACCATTTAATAAGAAGTCATGATGGATGATTAAAAGGGTTATAGTAATGTTAACTTCAATGAGTATAACTATCACTACACACTTTGTTAATCCTACAATTTTATACGCTATGATTTAAAAGTAACATTCCAGCTGATACAAATGCATAAACCTATATGTTGACCAAGTGAGTTTTGATAAATATCAAGTTTTACACTACAAGAATGACAATGAAATAACTGACCAAAAATTAAGGTATTATATCATTTTACCACATGATTTTTCTAGAAGCTGAATGGGACCCAACAGCATATTGTAAATTACACAACAGTAAAATTATATTTGATAATTATCTTAATGAACATATCTCCACAAAGCCATAGGATTATTTAGATATAAAAACTTAACTCTGTCAGAAGTACATCTTAAATTGACTTCTTTTTCAAGTGTAACATAATCCGAGATACTTTTTTTCTGAATATCCAACTATTTACCAATTTGTTTATGAAACAATGCTATTGTATCACCTTACATTTAGCATGGTTCTAATTAAACTCACCATTTGCTGTAAATTTTTTGTTCTGGTGAAAGCAAAATGCTTTTTGTTTGCCATTGTGGCTAATGGAAAAATAGTGATAAAATTAATACAGCAGAATGAAGATTTGCAAATCAATTATAAGTCATAGAGTTGTATCATTTTTGTATGCAACCATAAGCTAAGTCAAAATCAACATCATGCAACACAAATCAGGAAGATAAACAATATCAGTTTTAGTGTATACAAATGTACAATTGCGTACTAAGTAAAACAGCACTTAAAACAACATCAAACAAAATTGAGGTATAATTGAATAATAACAAGAAACCACACTGTACAGCTCTATCAATCACAACTTTCAATTTCTATAATATTATCAAATAAATAATAGCCAATCGTGTTTATAACTCATGAAATGAAAGAGAAAAATATGCTTTGTAATAACAATTATTGAAAATAAATTACAAAATTAAAACATAATGAAGATATTTTGCACTACAGGGAAAAAAAAAGGTGTGTAATATGTAAATATCACAAACACTTTTACATATTTTACTTAAGAGGTACAAAAGTTTAAATATTTTTATTCTAGTTGAGTCAAAAATTTTGTTTGTGATAACATGCTAAACTTTGACCTAGGAGCCTCACTTCTGTGGCAGATGCCAATCAGTTGTCTTGATCATCACATGGATAACTATATAATGCTGAACTGTACCTGCTTAATGTAAAGCTATCTTTATACCTATTAAATGGTGTGGAGAGACAATCTAATTTCATAAAATGTGATTTTGAAAAACTAAGCTATGTTATGTTATGTTTCTTGTAAAATCAGATTTTTCTTGGGGAGATTGTTTTTGGAAACTCGAGATGTTACATTAGTTTTCAAATGATCAGTTTTCAGTTCAAATTTCAGTTATATTAACTCTATTTTAAGATGATTGTTATTATGATTCAGTTTATTTTACAGTTATTAACTCTCTTGCCAAGGAACTTGGTCAAATCAACCAAGTTCTTGACTCCAAATTGACCTTTATAGTTTCCATATTATAACTTCTAATATTTTTTGTGTATCTTCACAAAATTTTGCAAGCTCTTGGTAATCATTAAGAATCTTTTGTACACAAAAAAAATCATAATTTCTAATGAAGTATTTTTAGTAAAAATTGCTTCATAAATATATGGAGTCAAAGTGTTGACTTCCCTGAGTAAAAAGTGAATTTTATTCTAAGATTAAAAATACTTTTCTTCATCTGAAAAATCTCAAATTTCCCTTGCATAATCTCTAAAACCTCCTAAATAAGTTTCAAATGTTTGTTTACAGTTAAGCTTTAAATTTTAACTGTTACTTTCTCTACCCTAACCCTATACAAGATTAGTCTATTTGACTGACCTTGTAACCCTCAAAATACACTTTAAAATATCTAAATTACCATTTTTCTTTCTAGAATGACTTGAAATTGTAACATAAAAATACATGTTTATCCAAAATAGCTTTAAACTCATAACAGAAAATATCCATTTATAATTTAATTTTACTGTTTTATTACCCTTTGAACTGTGACTGATATTCCCACCATACATTTGTAAATCACTTGGTAAATGTGCAGCTCATGTTACTCTGTTGAATTACATAATGCACGAGTTGCTCACAAGCATACTTTGCAAAAACTTATTATTATTATTTATTTTCCCTAATCTAACTTAAAAAGTTTCTAATTTTTTCATTTTAGTTACATTTATAATAATAAATAAATGAAAAATACACAAGAAAAACAAAAAATGAAGTATTTACCAGGTCTTTTTTTTGTTTTTTGCTGTCAATTGAAATTTACCCCCACATTTTTTACACTAATGGTACTACTGCACTGAATAAATTTTCATTTAATTAAATAATGTACCAAAAAACATAGAATAATCACATGCAAAACTATCCCAATTTTTGTGACTTTCTACCTATGCAACAAGAGCTGTTAAAATTTCAGCTAAGCTTGTCAACGTGTTTTCCATGGGAAAAAAAGACTGAACTGGAAGTGAAATAGACAGTTCTCTATACAGAAAACAAGGTAATATAATACATCATTTATTAGATTAAAACCTTGGCTTTCTATTGGTATGGTGATAATTATTAAGAAATCCTGAAATAATTCCAGCAGAATGTGCAAAAAAGTT